CAGGCACTCAGCTCTGTGACTCTTCAAGAGAGCTCTGCAAGGCCTGCTTTATGTCTCCCAAATCACAAGGTCAAGGCCAGCAAGGGATGGAGAAAATCTGGATATATACAAGTACTTGCAATGAAAGCTGTGATAAGCTCCTAAAATCTATCAACTTCTGTTTGACAAAATGATTAAAGGAGGTTTCAGTGCTCCTTCCCTGTCTGAGCTGAACATAATGAGAGAAGTGCACTGAGCAGCGACAGGTAATTGCAGCGGCAACGAGTGCAGGGCACCAGAGCCGAGCAGAGCTGCTCGCTCAGTTACTGCAGGCGTAAAGGCATGTGAAGCGAGACCTCTGGAAGGGGATGGAGAAAGGGACCAAAAAGGCCAAAACAGAAATTAAAATGCTGGAGTTTCAAATGCACCACACTCAGAAAGTTCAATCAGATCTGCTTGTATGGCCTCCTTATGGAGAAAGGAGAAGTTTGGGCAAGGGGAAATATTATGCCTCCAAGGCTATCAGTGAAGCAAAAAATTACATTAGCTTTACAACCTGAAGCATATTTGTTAGTATTTAACAAATTATGTGCTTCATTTAAATACTGTTGCTGGTAGCCAAATAAATTAAAATCACCTCATTAGGCTTTACATCAGTGAAGTTAAAAAATTAAAAGAGGCTTTTCTTACCTTCTGTCTAGGTATCTTTCTGCTTGTAGAGCACAGCACAGCAGGGACCTGTGTCACCAAGGCCTTTTTCCATATCATTTGTCTCCAGTCAGCCCAAACCTAGATGGTTATGAAGAAAGACAAGGCAGACACGTGATTTCAGAATATCACCACGGTTCCACAATCAAAGGAAGATCACTGTAATATCCAAAGTGGAACTGCCTGATTCACTCACAGCCCAGAAGGCCCACATGCTGCCCTCTGGTAAGGAGAGAGAAACAGGCAGAGGCAAAGATGCAGAACCGACTGTACTGCAGGAGCTCCATCAGATACAGGTGCGAGCCAAGGCCAGGAAGCAGCGAGCAGTTTGGACAGGCAGCTTCCACGCTTCACCTACCTGTAGAGAGACTTCAGGCAAGTTGTTTTCTTACATGTATTTCAATTAACTTATTTGTGAAGCTGAAATAAAGACACTCTAACCTACTCTCTAATTTTCCCCTAAATTACTTCATAAAAATATTTCTCATGGCAAGCATTTCTGAAGGTCAACAATCAGCCAGTAAAGAACATGCACTACAAACACTGTGAAAGGAAATAAGCTATCTGAAGCTTGACCTTTAGCCTCCTTTGCCAAGTCTTCAGTTTATGGAAAGCAAAAACACAGTACAAGTTAAATATTACCATCAATGCACAATCAATAATACTATCAATGACTTAAGTTAGAGTAACAATCTTACACATCCTACTTAAAGAAAAGCCCAGTACCTATTACAGCTGACAAGAAACAAAGGCAGTATATATGGAGAACTTGTTAAGTATATGCAATATAAAGCAAACTCTAAGGAAAAAGTTATGATAGAAGGAAAGCTAACCACTTTTTTTCTTCTTAAAAATAGCTCATTATTTTTGGAATGAAGTTTGGAGATGCCAAAGTCTTTGCAAATCTGCATTACTTGCAATAAATATGTTTGTCAAAAAAAAAAAAGAAATATTTTAACATTATTTGACAAACTATTTTTGACCTGAATTGTTCTCCTGGAGCCAACTTAGCACGTTCAATTAAAAATACGTGGGTGTAAAATTAAATGTTTTATTCAATCAAAAAAATCTTTCTTTCCCCAGCCCCTGGAATGAAGCCAGAAACATTTTTGTTTCAGGTCACACAGTAACTGCTTCACTAGAACCATCTGCACAACTCTGCCCAGAGAATGTTTGCAAACTTGCAGAAGTTGCAGTCTCCAGGTGGCTGTCTCTCAACTGCCCATTCTGCAGGTGCCCTGCAGAATAAAACACAGACTGCATATCTCATAATATATACATATAAATAGTAACAGCACATCTTAGTATTTAAAAAAACATTTAGGATTTGCCATTCCAAGGTGATGAATTTCAGTCGAAGCTAGCAGGATCTTTTGCATGCTTCTATTTAAGTATGTTCCTAAAGATTTTGCCAAGTCAAGATGGATGAATTAAAAGAAAATGTGAGAAAACTACTAACTTGACAGTTATCACAAAATTTTCTGAATAAATTGCACAAGCACCTTCACCTGTTTGGCATCAGTTTCTCTACTAAAATAGAATTTTTCTCTAACAAGAAAATTTGAATTTTGCTTTTGATGGTGTCTGCTGTTTCCTGGCCTTATGCTTTGGCATTCCCCTTAAGTGGTGATAACCACTTACGAAGTCCTGGTCAGAGTGACACATCATCCAACTCTACAACAGAGTACAAATAAGGTTCACAGACTTTCACTCAGCAGTAACAAAAGCAGAATCAGGTAAAGCTGCATATAAAAAATTATTTGCAGTAAMAAAAAAGATCTGTAGGAATAAAATCTTTAGGCAGACTGTCAGCTGTTACAAGTTAAGCTACCAATATGTATTCCTTGCTAGCTGAGCTACTGGCCCAAAAGTGCACAGCTCCTCTTGACAGTGAAGGAACCAGCTGCCCACGTGTTTTGCTTACTTGATTCAGTGCTCTGCTTATTTCACTGTGGAAGGCTTTTGTAAATAGAGGGCTGCCAAATGTATCAAGCTTTTCATCTTGCTGCAACACAGAGTGAAGTTCATTATGAGGTGAATTAGGTGCATCAATTTCATTGCATTTAATCTCATGGGATTCATCATATGTTGCTCAGGTCAGGAAAGGCAATCTAGGAAATGCTGCACTGAAGATTCCTGAAACACGTTATTGATCTTCCTCTCTTTCATTTTGCTTTTAAGTTAGAAAGTAAAATAGAGAGGTTGAAACAGTCAGATTTCTATTAGATGTAACATCTCTTGTGGCATGCTTAATTTTCAATTGCAGTTTTGCACCTCACACACTTGCAATTCTAAACTAATCATGCCCAAAGCGCCTACGTAATCAGCACAAATTCAAGAGAACTTTATCAGYACATTATACAAATCCTAATATTGGATACATAATATTAATTCTTCAGATCATTGCATTCAGAATTGAGCTTATATGGAAAACTAAAAAACTCTGTGTCTGTGCACAGTAAAATTTTACTCTGCAACTGAAGCAAAAGCTGGAGGTCCATCAATATTGAACTTGTTTCCATTGTACATAAGGTAAAGAGCCAAGTCAAGAAAGAAGCCTACAGATGCTGGGTTAGAGGTGAGCACCACCTCATCCCCATGGTCTTCATACAGTGACAGCCAGCTGTACGGCAAGATTAGTTTCATCGAGTGACTGTACATGGCAGTTAGGACTACAATTTTCCCTCAATATACAAAAATTAACAGAGAATTTGCATTTCAGCAAAGTAAGTGGGAATGAATAAATGCAAACTGTTCCTTCTTACCTTCCCATTCTCAGCCTTCCCTTCCCAACTGGCAGGAGTCCTTTTCAAATGTGCATTACCGCAGTTCTTGCAATGACTCCTGGCAAATCTGGAGACCCAGGAGCACTTAACAGTAAGAGATGCTATAGATCAGGCAGGAAAGACAGAAGAAAAACGGGAAAAACAGGAAAAGAGAAATGAAAAATAATTAACAGAAAAAGAGAAAAGATAAAAGGAGAAGGAGAAAAAAGAAAAATAGGAAAAAAGTAAATAAGAGCTACAGAGGAAGCCAAGAAGGAAAAATGGAGGGGAATAAAAGGGAAGAGTAACAAGACAAAAGAAAAGGAAGAGAGAAAACAGGTCAACATCCTCTCCCTTGAAACACAGGGAACTAGAGCCTAACTGAAGCCTCCCAGATTAGAAGGGAGGACCATTACGAAAAATAAATAAATAAATAGGTAAAATGTTATCTATTTCTAGTGACATACATAAAACATTTTCCATACATTCCTACATGTTCCTAAGACAGCTAAATGTATTATCAATTCTTCCTGGAGTGAAAGAAGGACAATTCTACCACAGGGGTACTACCATTAGCTATTTGATGAGAAAGCATTTCACAGAGAAACATCTATGGTCAGCAGAATATGACCATTAACTTATTACCTGTCTGATTTTCATCTTCCAATTCAATGTTCTGAATTATTAATCTCCTAGTCACTGGTCCAAGTTTTTAAGAATCTTTATAAAATGTCTAAAGAGCTTAAGGACTGTGAAGAAGCAATCCTCCTAAGCGTGTCTGTCTACACAGGCTACTTGGAATGCAAAATATTAAACTCTAATTATCATTCAGCACCAAAAATCCAGAACTGTGGCAGCACTGCTGCAGGAGGACTTACAGCTAAGGCTAAATGGTGCCTGTAGGAACTAGCAGGGCTGCGGGGAGGCAGAAGGAAGTGTTATGATGTACCGGGGCACAGAGAGCATGCAGACTGGAGCAAGGTCTTTGCTTTAGTGAGCAGACACACATGACTGGGAGAGAAGCAGCTCAAGCTCTACCAAGAGCAGAGCTGTGGCCAGGATGTTCCAGCACCTGGAAGACAAATGTTTATCCCATCACTGTTTCAAAGAAGGTTTAAAAGTCTCCAGCACTGAACAAGATTATATATATTTTTTTTACAGATTAGCGTAAGTCAAAATTAATGTATGAATCTCATTCTGCAAAAAAAGAGTCATGCCTGAGCAAAAGAACCAAACAAGTATGTTTGTTTAACTCTGCCATTTAAAAGAGCAAACCTGAGCAGAGATATTAAAAGCACATTAAACAGGAAGTGTGCCCTTTAAATATCAACTTCTAATTGCAGTGACGTGAATAGTAAATCTCATTATATACATTTAAGGATTAGGTATTTTATTAAATGTGCCTTCAAGTAAATTGCACTATCAGTTCTTTTAAGAGTGATCATCAATTTTCACTCTGGTATTTGTCAATAATAACCAACAAAATATCAGACTTACTGTTGCTGTGACCACTGCAGTGATAGCTCTGTAGCAGGTTAAATGCCCTAGTGCTCAGCTCCAGAGTACTTGCAATGTTATATGCAGCCTGTGACAGGATTAAAAACTGCATTTTAGCCGACAAAGAGTAATATTTCTTAAGAATCTTAAATAGCAAGATATAATCCAATTAGATGAGATTTCCAGTAATTCTGCCCTTCTTTCTCACCAGGTCCACAGCAGCACCCCAGCGTTTCTGCTGGACCACAGGCATGAGCTGCACCCCAGGCGCAGGGAACCCCACCGGGTACCCCCCCCCGGTGCCGACAATGCTGTGCACTGCCAGCACAAGCAGAGCTGCAGGCACACAGCAAGTGGCAGGAGAGACTCTTATTTCCTTGGGAAGGAAAGCACRCAAAGGTTTTAGTTCCTCGGCAACACCATATTACCTTCACATGCTGGGAAGCCCAATACATCTAGACCAGAACATGCCCAATGCTTTTATTTCCCAAATACAGTGTTGTAAAGACGTGATGTCCATGATGAAGTCTCTTTGACAGAGTCAAGGAATTACATGAGGATTTAAGATTTGTTAAAACTGGTATTTGTAGATCTTGTGGATTCCAAGAGAGAAAAACTGTCAGAAATAAAATGGAAGAAGACACAATCATGTCATTCACTGTACTTGAAATCCCAGTTTGTAGGCCTCACAGCATTTTTCAGAAGTAGTCTGTGATTTTGGAACATCCGCTCTTTGGCATTACTCCTTAAAGGTAACCTAATCAAACTTGAGAAATAACTTACATGAGGTCAAGGCTATTATGCACACCCAACAAGCAGCAGCAACAAGTAGAAAAATGATTCATGGCAAGGGAAAAGCTAGACTGTTTTTATGTTATATTTTGGGGGAATATATAGTCCATTTTAATTCCATGCAAACCATTTTGCTTATCTCAAAAGTAAAGGCTCAGATGCAACCATTCTCAGAGTTAAAAGAGAAAAACATTTTTACAGACTGTTAAGCTTTAGCTCCTAAACATCTTTTCCAGAACACTACACTAGTAATATTGAAATCCTCCAATTTCTCTATCACTGAATTAATTACTGCTCATATTTCAAGCATCCGTGCGCTCCACTTTGAATCAAAGGTGTTCAATACGCTTCATTTACATCAAAAATTCATCTTCCACAATCAAACTGAATTTTATACAGCAGCATTCATTCTTATATCATTATTTAACAYTCTATCAGAACATATATAAAAAAGTATATGAAGGCAAAAGATCATTTTTAATTTCAATTATTTTTGAGATTTGATCTACAGACACAGCTACAACTTTCATCTCCCATCAGGGAGAAAAACTGGAGTAAGACGATTCACTGATATCCGGGGTTGTCCCTTCCTAACACAGGAACACAGAAAATTCAAGCAAAATAGAGAAGAGATCAGAATCAAGAATGTAAATACACACAAAACCCTAATTTCTGCTGAAATATAAAGCTCCAGCTATAGAGACCCTTGTACTCTAAAGTCAGGAAGAAAGTCCTTCCCTCCACATCCATCCTGGCTCAGTCTTCACTTCTCAAAGTAAAAGCCATTAACACTACGTAGAAGAGCTTTAATTGTAGCACTCAAAATTGAATAGGATGGTAAAAGAGCAGGCAGAACGTGCACACACATCCCCGAGTGCCCCACACAGACTTGCAGGAAGATGGTTAGAGATTTGCAAAGCCTTTGGCTCCAACATATATGTGCCTATACAAATATATGGTCAGGCATTCTGCAACAGGAAGCTGATGACACCTTGGCTCCAACGGGTTAAGAGGCTCTCTGACAGCTAAAGAGTTAGCAGTTTACCAGAGCAAAAGCAAACTCAATCCTTTAAGATACTCAGCTTTATAGGGATTGCAAGTCTAAGGCACTCCAGGATAAGACTTTGCAAGGTCATCACTGGAAAATTTTAGTGCTCTCCTTCCACGTAGCCCTCCTTAGAGTGGAGGGAACAGGTTGGCTCTCTCCTGTTATCTCAGCTGCTGAGAAATTACTGGAAATTTGAAATGTCAGGGCAGGAGTGGAAAATCACTCTGACTTAGAACACCAAGCCATCAGTATCTCTGAAATAACATCCTAGTTTATAAGGTAAAACACCTGAAGGAAACAAAACAAGTCCACTTATCTTGTCRTTTATTTTTAAAACACTGTATTGACCAATATTTTTCCTGACCAATGGCAAAGGACAGAAATGCAAAAACTGTCCTCCTATAAACCGTCCTTCTATAAGTTCCTGTTGATAGAAATAATTTACATAYACTTGGCCCACTGAATTTACATCCTATGCCTTGGAAAGGCTTTTGGCTGGCTGGAAGGTCAACTTTGCTCTCATAGTCTTAGGGCAAATCTGTCTTTCGGAATCCAAGGGACAGATTTGAATATCCCTGCTCCCTTTCCCCTCTTCCTGCAGGCAACACTCCRGTTTGTCTGAGACAAAGTCCTTCCTTACAGCAATGCAGACTTTGTGAAAGGGTGACAGGAGAAGCTCTGGGAAAGAAGATAGTCAGCTAGGTCTGTGGTAAGATCTGAAGCGTTAAATGTATTACTGGTTCACTGACACCCCTCAGTAGAGCCAATAGGAGTCAGGAGGCTGAAAAGAAATGGGCTGCACTTTTGCTCTGTTTGGAACCGTAGAAGAGATTTCAGGGTATGGCTGTAAGGTGCCTCACCTCCCTCCTCAGCAGCGATGGCACCCGATGAACTGAGAGGCCTCTCTCTTGCCCAGGGTCACAGTTTGCTTACGGCAGCTTCTGACTGACATCCTGGGTCAGTGATTTAATACAACTCCTTATTCCCAAACCTTCCTCTGAAGCCTCTGCAGAATTCCTTTCTCCCTGACCTTCAGCCTGGTGCGTAATCACCAGGCTGACATATCTCTCATTTAAATTCCTACCCAAACTGATTATGATATTCTCACTTCATTGCCCTTGAATGCAGCTGAATTAAGACACCAGGGTAATAAATGGGCTACCATATTAACAGTGATGTATCTCCCCCTTCCACAGAGCCAACGTCAGACTAATTTTCACATGGAAGTCATACTGTCAATAGACTACACTGCCATTAAGAATCAGTTAAACATTAATTAATGGACRTTTACACTTTTTACTAGGACATGTTTAGTGAAAAATTCTCCACTGGCAGAATTGTAATYGGCTTTCTAAATCTCCCAGATCCTTTAAAAATGATTCTCTCTATTCGCATGCTCTTGTTGTTCTGCAGTTTTAATGTACAGTTCATTTAGTAATCACGTACCTCTCCGTACAGACAGACAGACAACTAATCTATTTCTTCTGACATTCTATTTTAAAATCCCATTTAATATGTTCAGTTCTTAACAGAATTGAGAATTTAGCAGGAACAGAAATGGAAGCATCTATCAACCTTAAAAGAAACACAAGAAAAGCTTGTTAATATTCAGAAAATCACTGACATTCCAAAAGAAATAGTCATTTCCAAGCACCCTCTCTAGGAGAAAGAACATAATGGGAAATTTAAGTCTGCAGTTCCCTGCTTCATGCTACTGTATCTCCTCGTTTAAAAAAATCAATATAGGCTATTAATCATTTTGCCCCACGTCCAGATACTGTGAATGCTTTAAAAGATGAGCTGTAAAGGTCTGGAAAAAAAAGCACAGGGAAAGAAAAAAGGAAAGCAAAATTGCTATATAAACACACCATAATTAGGAGACAGACATTTCAAGCTGATGTTTAAATTATACACTGTCTCTCACCTTCTTTTTACAGATTTCAAACTCCTCACTCAGTCAAAACACACACAGCTACATATGAGGACAATTATTTCTCTACCGTCATTGACCAACCCCAGAGCAAAGAGGAGAAAGACAGGGCTTTATTCGACAGTATAGAACCTCATTCTTTAGGGGTTTTTTTCTTTTTTCTTTTTTGTTTTTTTTTCAGTTCAACTTTTATTTATGGGGAAGAAAAACAAGGAGAAACATAAAACACTGAATAAAAGCCAGCATCCCTTCCCCTTCTTGCAGACTCCTCCAGGAACACTGGCTCCAGACGCTCATTACAGCCACTGGGTGCGCATGCTGGTTTGCCTCGGTGGAGCACAGAGCTGGCACCAGGGGAGCAGCAGCTCCACGAGCCATGAGGAGCAGCACCAACCTGAGTAACACCCCAGCGAGGCACTCAGCTCACCCACGTGCAGCTCGGGACATGCAGCCCATGTCCCCGCAGACCTGCGCAGATCCTCAGGAAACTAAATTACACCATCTTCATTTGTCACAACCAGATTACACCATTTTACACCACATGGATATTTTGGTTACAAACATAGTGAAATCAACACTTCAATAATTATAGATTTTCTTTAAAAATCACCCCCCCACGCCATCTGTTAGGCTGCAAGTTCACAGCCATACAAATGCCAGCCCAGATCCTTTTGAAGGAGGCAATGCATTTCAGTTCCAAGTTCTGCCCCACTTCTTGGGACAGCAGCTGACAAACATCACCACTCAGTAGGTGAGCACCGCCCATCAGAGCACAGCCCAAAGGAATACCAGCAAATTCTTCACAAGAGCTTTTGTAATTATTATTGGGTCCTAAATGCTACCTTCTCTGAAACTGTGACCACTTCAGCAAGAAACCCTAAAATACCTGGATGTCAAGGTGCCTGCCTTTCGTAATTTTCAACATAGAACCAACTAAATGCTAACAGGAAAAAAAAAAGGGGGGGGGGGAAGCCTATACCACCACAAAAGGCCACTTGCATATTCAGAGATAACATGACCTCATCACAGCAGCATCTTTCATTTAATGATACCTTTATTTCTCATGTAATGCAGGCAAATTAAAGTCTTCACATTTTAAACAATTATTGATTTGTCTGATTTATGAATACAAAGCTAAGTAGCTGAAATGCTATTTGGTCTATCTGATTTGGGGCTCGAGCTGGAGATGCTCCTCTGAAACACAGGCAAAGCCTGCCCCCTAGAGCATCACTGTCCCTCGCTGGAGGAGCCATCTGCGCTGATTCATACTCCCTATCTAGCAAAAAGTGAACTTGGGGGCCTGCTTTGGTTCTCTCTC